CCTCATGCTGGAAACTTAACTTTTCGAACCACACGGTGGAGTAGAGGGAGGCCCAAAAAGAAAGTGGTCATGGTTCCCCACCCTCCCGTATGTTGATGGATCGGGACGAACAAACCCTTATGTGACAGCCTTATCACAGTTCAAAGAGGTAACATGTCAAATATCGTTGTCATCCTTGCTCTGACTATTTTCTAAACAATTTCTTTTCGTTTCAGCCCAACAAGTGTTTCTATTAAAATTTAATAGCACAACCTTACACAATTTGTGAGGAAGGGTTGCTTTGAGGTAGTTTGACACAGCAAAAACGTTGTGTCTTCCTCAAAATGATCCATGAAGCGAAAGAAAGGGTGTAACTTTAAGTGGACTTTCTATATTTCATTAAACTGAATGAAATGGAGTCAAATAACTTTGATCGAATTATGTGAACTATTGTGGCACAATAATAATATAAAAACTCAAGCTTATTTGAGATATTCCCTTCTTCCGCTACCTGGACCAAATGACACCTTCTTCTCAAATTTTGTGACTAATTCCTGTAAATTCACAAAACCTGTTGCACTGTTTTCAATTCATTATTTTTTGTTACAAAAAGTCAGGACAAAGATAAGAAATGCGCTAAAAAAGCAACAGCAAAATTTTCAGCAGGCAAACTAGGGTTGAAGAAAAGAAGTTTAATGAAATCATAGATAGAAAGCCAGGCAAGAAGGATCAAAATCCCAAATACAAAAGTATAAAAGCACAAAATGCTAAAAGGAAACGAAACAAAGTCTATAGCACAATGCTAAGTGAGGGAAAGAAAAGCAAAGCAAAAGCGAAAAGAGGAAAAAAAAACTATCTAAGTACTTGTATCAGAAGCGGCCTTTTTGGATTTGGAAAAGGAACGAAGCCATTTCCTAATGGACCCCGTAATGTTGGTTTTCTGAAAGTTACCCTCATATTGCCGGGCACACGCCTCTGTAACAATGAAGAAAGGAAAAGGACATTTAGAAACACTAACAAATAACAAACACTAACAATTACGGTACAAACTGAAAAGTGTGCTCAGTATGCATCTACAGACGCATGCGTTGTTATAGATGCTTCTGACGGTGTGTACTTGCAAGTATGCATCTGTAGATGCATACTTATTACACACTTCAGTTAGTAGAGCGTGCTCATAATTACCAGTAATGAGGGCACCAGTTTTGAGGTCCTATATACCAATTTTTTTGTCAGTTCCCACCCAATTTATCATAGCTGCAAGGGCTGGGCTGAACAGCAGCTTGCAGACATTGGTTGCCATTTCGGATTCATTAACACCCCTTCCAGCCACCACACTGAAATGAGAAACCTGGAAAAAAAGAGTGAAATTTGAAGGTTTTTCATGCAATTCTACAAAACATATTTTTAAAAAAAATTGTTTGAATGAATGATGTGCACTACTCTTCTCCACACTGGTAAAACTGAAGCGTAGTTGTATGCTTGATTCAAGCGTACAACTATGCTTGAAGACTTTATGCTTGACGTCAAGCGTAGAGAAGCAACTCTCCCGTGCATTTGCGGGAGAGGGGCAAAATGGAGAACTATGCTTGAAGCCGAGGGTAGTTCTACTACGCTTGAAGAAAGGCGTAAAAGTTCGCTTGAGTTCTACCAGTGCACTTACAGCAAAATCAAAGTTATCTTTCTTTGATAGAAAGTACTCCCACTCATAAAATTTGTCTTTAGGGTCCTTGGCAGCTGGGTGCGGCAGCACACTAGGCCAGCCAGCTGACTTGGCGGCCAAGCTCGTGTGAGCTTGAAAATCTAATATTTTTTGTAACTTAAAGTCAATTTTTTCTAAGTGCTGCCTCTGCTTCACTTGCTCCTCCCTGATTTTCATGAGGACTTTACGGATATCTGTAAAATAAACAACACTGTTTAAAAAAGTCTGAAAATTCAGACCGATTTTTTCAGACCCAGTGGTCTGAATCTGAAATTCAGACTTGAGTCAGAAATTTCAGACACTTGGTCTCAATTTTACACCTTGGGGTCTGAAAAATGAGTTTCAGACTCAAGAGTCTGAATATTTGGATGGCGTGGTATAAATTTTCGGCGTCGGGGTCTTAATACAGTCATATGTGGTAGAAAGTCTGAATTTTCATCCTGCGCAGTCTGAAATTGACGCTTTATTTTCTGATAAAAGGCATGACTGCGTTTGAAGTGCGATGGACCCTGCATTGCCAGAGCACAACTTAATTAACTTTTGTTCAGCTAAGCGAACGGCCATCTAGTGTTGAGTTTAAAATCGGCCTGCACTCCGCTGGAAGCTGCAGGATGCGACACGTTTGCCCTGGTTCCGGCCTGGACCGAAGCCCGGGTCGCTTATTTACATACCGTGGGCGATTCAGCGCGGTATGAGAATTATGGCGATCGGAGCATTCCCGCTCCAGGGGACTGGGACACGGAAGGTAGGACAGGTGATAGCCACTTCTTCCGTGCAGTAGACACTAGCGTGTGTCAAGAATGCTGCTGAGTCCTCAAAACGCAAAGGAAATACATTTCCAGAAATAACTTAAGGGGAGGTTCTACTGAAAAAATGGCACTTTTCAAATTGAGCCCCAGTGTTAACATTTGTTGCATATGTGTAGTACTACATAGTTAATAGTCAAACATGAAATTTACAGCCCAATACCTTCCTCCAAATCCAGTCGAAGAGGTTTTTTCAGCCTATTTTAGGAATATCTTAAAAAATTCTCCTACGCACAGTATTTCAACGTAAACTGATGTTCTCGACATTTTTCACTTCTTTGGCACACATGCAATAAAGCGTGGCATCACCAAGACATGAGACCCAACAAATTTATTTTGGCACTGCCTATCAGAAAAAAATACACTAAAATATCAGGATTTTGACCATTTTCTTGAAATTTTAGTGACATGCTGTGTTGAAAACACAGCTTATGATTTTGCAATGGTCCCAGTATGTTACTAATGCCACGGTTTATCAATTATAAACCAAAAAAGTGAAAAATGCCCAGAACATCAGTTTACGTTTAAAAACTTTGCGTAGGAGAATTTTTCAAGATACGACTGGAAATAGCAGAAAATTCCTCTTCGACTGGATTTGGGGCTACGTATTCCCCTCCAAACTTCATATTTTACTATTTACTATAAAATACTTTAAATTTACAATGAACATACAAAGTGGGACTCAATTTGAAGAAAGTAAGATTTTCAGTAGAACCTCCCCTTAAAAAGACTCTTAAATGATCTTGATCATACAAACACAATTTTCTGTTCAAATGATATTGCTGTGAAGATACTTGATGTAGCCATCAGTTTAGCATAATGTAGGATGCAATAATAAAAAACCTTTTTTAAAAAGAAAGATATTTTAGATCAATGAAAAATCAACACATCTTTACATGTTCATTTTAAATGGTGTTAAGCCTGTTGGTGGTCAAAATATGACCTTTTATCCCTTTAATGGTCCGTTAACTATAAATAATTTAGATGTACTGCTCCAAAATTGCAGCTCCACTTTCTTGGAAGTAAGGATATCCTCTATGAGAGAGATCAAATGAAAGCGACAAGTTTCCGTAAACTGACTTGTCAAAAAATCTTGCGAGCCTCATTTTTAAAGTAACCATAAGGTGAACATAATTGAACATTGATTGAACATGATTGAACATAAAATGTTTTTGAACTTGTCTTTCAGAGAACTCCAAGTGTAAGCAGGACTATTTTGATATTGTTAATGGTCGTTGAGATCAAGAAAAATAAAAAGTTTTAACTTATAAAATTTTTAGGTGTTGATCACTTTCAGCAATATCAAAGTAGTGTGGTGTACACTTATCGTGCACCTACAAAGAAGTTGAAAAACATTTCTGCCAATTAAATATTATCATACATGGTTTTAAAAAAATTGGGAACTTTTTTCCAACCTTTACGACAAGTTAGTTAACGTAAACTTTTTGCTAACTTTTGAACAGTTTAACATTAACTTGTCGCTAACTTTTGAAAACTTTTTCTCAGGAAATCCGCAACTCCCTCTAAATCAGAGAAGATGAAACTCAAATTTTTATACAGAACCACTATATTCCTCGAAGTTTCTGATCTGTTAAGTGTAACGTAACAAATTTAGTCGTTTCTCTCATCACTCCTTCTAATACCAAAATTGAGTTTCCACCCTTCCTCCCCAAAAAAATTAGTCTAGAAGGACATACAAATTGGATTGCAGCTTGTTGCACTATCCCTTTTAGTCAGTTAATAAGAAAATATTAATTATCTTGACATTTCAACAGAATTTTTTTTTCTAATCCTTACAATTTCAAGTCGTTTTGATACTTTTTTCGGAAATGACTTCAAATTGAAATTTAAGGACACATTGGGTGTGTGGTACATGGGAGTCCACTAGAATAGTGGCCAAATCACATGTCCCGTAAAGCGGGGATGCTCCGACCGCCATAATTCTCATACCGCGCTGAATCGCCCACGGTATGTAAATAAGCGCCCGGGTCACCCGAGCCGAGCCGCTCCGGCGGCGGCCAGCCGAGCCAGGTACACCGAGCCGAGCCGGGGCTTTCGGAAAATCACCGCTGACCGACGTGCCGGCCGAAGCCTACCTGCGCGGGGCGGGGGGAGAGGAGGGGGCCCTTAATCCCTCGGCCACTCGGGATTTCTGGACACTATGCGTCAGTTTTAGCTTGTCTCCAGAGCAGTGCACATACGTATGGATACGCGCAGGACGATGCGCCGGCACCGGGGAGCCGAGCGCCGACCCGAAGTGCCGGTTCGGCGCTCGGCGCTCGGCACTTCGGTTCGGAGGCCCACCGTGGCGCCCCTGGCGGGGAAGGCGAAAAGCCTGCCGAGACACGAAACCAGCGCGCGCGCGAAAATTTAAAACGATGCGCGGTATTGCCAACACCGCCTTCGCATAGAGATCGGGAGGGAATATATTTAAGTTGGTAATGAAAACAAGAAATCGGCGGCAAAACCGCGCCAATGTGTCCCACTTGTGTTCCACCTGTCCTAGTGCCAAGATGTCTGCTGTGAAGTGTTCTTTGTGAGTAATTTTTAATCAGGCCCTGGCGTTCAAGATATTTTATCTCTCCTTCGTAATTGTTGTTCTCAGATGATTCTCTATACCTTATATCATATTCGTTTTTCTTGTGTCAGGTGTGACTCGACCTATGTGCATAAGAAAAGCCTGTATAGGCACATGCGCACAAAGCATGATTGTGATCCGCCAAGTGAGGAAAAGATAGGTGAAGTTTGCTATGTGTGCGATAAAGTGTTCTCCAGTATCTCAGTACTAAATCGTCACCTAAGAGAGCAGCACAAAGTTCAGCCACAAACAAAAAGATCAAAGCTCCTCTGTCCATCATGTGACGTTATGTTTCCCTCATCCACAAGCATGGATATGCATTTGAAACATGACCACAGTAATGACTTATCTTCTTCTCAAATGAATTTTCAGAGAATTGATGGTAAGGAAAACACTTTTTTATTTCTTTGTTAAAATGTAACTTTATTCATTAGTTACACAACAACTTTTTTTATCCCACCACAGATTTCTATGTTTGGAAAGAAGAAATGGAGAGAGGAACAAACTCTTTGTATATTCAGCATGAAGGTGCAAGGAGGCTCGATCATGGAGAAAGAAGATATTATTATTGCCACAGGTCTGGAAACTCAAGGAAGGTAGAAGCTCCAGATAGGATCCGATGGAAGGAATCACCAAAAATTGAGCGTTACTGCCCTGCTCGAATTACTGTAACAGAAGTCAATGGAAAAGTATCAGTAGTGCACCACAAGGATCATGTTGGGCATGATTTTGATTTGGGCCACCTGCGACTCAACAAAAATGAAAGGGCCATGCTTGCTGCAAAACTACAATCAAAAGTTCCCATGAATGACATCCTTGATGATATAAGAGACAGTGTTACCGAAGAAGGAGGATTATCAAGACTGCATCTGCTGGACAAGCGAGATTTGTTAAACGTCATTAAGGAATTCAAGCTTGATAAGAACAGAGCGCATGATAATGACGCAATGAGTGTTGATATGTGGGTAGCAGAGCAGCAAGCAAAAGATCACAACATTGTGGCTTACTACAAACGACAGCACGAAGTAGATCCATGTGGCGTACTGGCAGAAGACGACTTCATGGTTGTACTAATGACTGACTATCAGAAGGAGATCCTCCAAACGTATAGCACAGACAAGACTCTAATTGACAGCACACACGGAACGAACAAATATGACTTTCAACTAACCACCCTTATGACTGTAGATGAGTTCGGAGCTGGGTGTCCAGGCGCTTATTGCATTAGTAACAGGATTGACACTGACAGCATGACTGTCTTCTTTGAGGCGGTGAAAAGAAGATTGGGCACATCCATTTCAACCAACATCTTCATGTCCGATGATTATCCTGCCTATTACAATGCATGGGCAGCCGTAATGGGACCTGCCAGACATCGCCTATTGTGCACATGGCATGTTGACAGGGCTTGGAGAACACAGCTCAAACAAAAAGTGAATGACGTTAAAGCTCCAGAAGTTTATAAAGGGTGCAGAGTACTCCTTGAGTGCAAAGATCCTGAGAGACTTGAATCACTGATCGTAAACTTCATTCAACTGTGTGAGAGCGATGAAGAGACCAATGAATTTGGGAGGTATTTTAGAAAGCACTATGCCAACCGCATCAACATGTGGGCCTACAGTCATCGTCAGAAACTTGGATTAAATACAAATATGTATTTAGAAGCTCTGCACAAAAAATTAAAGTATTGCTACTTTGATGGAAAATGCAACAGGAGAATTGACAATTGTATTGCTGCTCTACTTCAGCTTACAAAGAACCTCCTATTTGAACGGCTGATTAGGCACCACAAACAAAAGCCAACATCTAGGATGCTAGCAATAACACAGAGCCATAAGAAGGGTGCACAGATCCCACCAGAATTTATTGAGCAAGTAGATCATGCAGAGTGGACGGTCAAATCTCAAGTTCGGACAAGAGGGCCATACACTGTTAAGGGGAGGTTCTGGTGAAAATGCTATTTTCTCCAAATTGAGTCCCACTATGAAAATTAGTTAAAAATTTGATGTCTTACCAAGTAATTATTAAAATTTTTCATTGGGGAGGCACATCTTATGCCCTGAACCCAGTCGAAGAGTCTTTTTGAGCCTATTTTGGCTGTATCTTAAAAAATCTCCTTGCGCATACTATTTTGTCGTAAAAGCTTGGCCTTGACATTTTTCACTTCTTCGATTCATTTTTAAAAGATGCCGGCATGCACAACTCAAAATGTAAATTACATTTTTATTCGCAAGCTTTCTAGCCAAGCATTTCACTATAATTGGTCAAAAATGTACAAAATAGTCAAATTTTAGGGACTTTTCAGCTTTAAAAAGCTTACAATTAATACTGTAATGGCCATTTTGAGTTGTGCATGCCGGCATCTTTTAAAAATGAATCGAAGAAGTGAAAAATGTAAAGGTCAACCTTTTACGACAAAATAGTATGCGCAAGGAGATTTTTTAAGATACAGCCAAAATAGGCTCAAAAAGACTCTTCGACTGGGTTCAGAGCCTGGGATGTGCTTTCAAAAATCTAATTTTAGTGTCCTCATAGAAAGATTTTATATTCCGAACGAATTATGACAGTCGGATCCATTTGGAAAATGGCAAGATTTTCACCAGAACCTCCCCTTAATATGACTGAAGATCTGTGTGAAGGCTGTCCTCTCCATTGCCCACAGTGCCAGAAGTGTGTCCATCAGGTCTCCTGCACTTGCGAAGACCATCTCATAAAGCTCAACATCTGCAAACACATCCATGCCGTCATTGTCCATTCCACATTAAAATCCTTTGAACCAATCGCCAACAAAATTAAGGAGAAAGAAGTTCAGGCAATTGTCACAGAAGCTGCTCACCATGAAAATTTTAGAGACGGAGTTTCCAAGGCCACCAAACTGAAGTCTACAATTCAGATGATTGCTGGATTGGCACTTCAGGTTCCACAAGACAAAATGGACAGAGCAATATCTGGTGCTGATCGCCTTCTTAAATTTCTGCAAGAAGTGATTAAGACTCCAGATTCCATCCTGCCTAGCTTTCCTGAGGTGGCACAGCAACCTGCAACAAAAAAAGTTAGCCCTCAACGAAAGTTTAAATCAACCAAGAAAGTTTGCAAAAAACAGACAAGAGCACTTGTAAAACCAGGTGACGCCCAGAAAGTTCTGATGGAAATAGTGCTCCAAAATGAAGATTATCACAACAAAGAAATTTTGAATATTTCAAGCCAAATGGAAACAGATCATGTTTATTTCTGATTGTATATGTATGTATATGTAATTTATTGCATATTTGATTTTAAGGGGAGGTTCTGGTGAAAATCTTGCCATTTTCCAAATGGATCCGACTGTCATAATTCGTTCGGAATATAAAATCTTTCTATGAGGACACTAAAATTAGATTTTTGAAAGCACATCCCAGGCTCTGAACCCAGTCGAAGAGTCTTTTTGAGCCTATTTTGGCTGTATCTTAAAAAATCTCCTTGCGCATACTATTTTGTCGTAAAAGGTTGACCTTTACATTTTTCACTTCTTCGATTCATTTTTAAAAGATGCCGGCATGCACAACTCAAAATGGCCATTACAGTATTAATTGTAAGCTTTTTAAAGCTGAAAAGTCCCTAAAATTTGACTATTTTGTACATTTTTGACCAATTATAGTGAAATGCTTGGCTAGAAAGCTTGCGAATAAAAATGTAATTTACATTTTGAGTTGTGCATGCCGGCATCTTTTAAAAATGAATCGAAGAAGTGAAAAATGTCAAGGCCAAGCTTTTACGACAAAATAGTATGCGCAAGGAGATTTTTTAAGATACAGCCAAAATAGGCTCAAAAAGACTCTTCGACTGGGTTCAGGGCATAAGATGTGCCTCCCCAATGAAAAATTTTAATAATTACTTGGTAAGACATCAAATTTTTAACTAATTTTCATAGTGGGACTCAATTTGGAGAAAATAGCATTTTCACCAGAACCTCCCCTTAATTACTGTTATATTCTATTCACATTATTCTATGTGTTTTCTTAAGTCCTAAGTGCAGTGTTGATTTAATTAATGTTATATTCTATTCACATTATTCTATGTGTTTTCTTAAGTCCTAAATGCTGTGTCGATTATTCATTTTATAATTTTGATTGGAGCAATTGTTTGTACTTGTTGTACTATGACTTGAGTTTAGAAACTCCAATAATGATCTTGGCCTCCTTGAGAGATAATACTTGTTACATTTTATGAATGTTTGAATTGTTTTATTCAATATTTTTTTTATCGTAAATACATATTTGATGTGATTTGAAGTAAAGTGAGGTGGTGAACAGTTATGTCACTTAACCAATACATACATACCGCTAGTACATTACTCAGCATCAGCAACAAAACAGTCATAATTAAAAGCAGTACTCAATACCCAAAAGAAAGGTTAATATGAGGTAAACACACATTTTCACTAGATTTCCAGACAACTTGTCGACTGAAGACAACTTGGGGCATAAATGGTTCGCGAGAGACTCTTCTTTTATGGCCGCAGGCTGCGCCTGTATTGGCCAGTAAATGGTTCGAAATTTCGTGATTTTGGGACTTCTCCGGTTCTGATCCTCATTTTCCTTTGAAAGATTCCCATTCGCCCGAATAGCAATAATCAGGCGCATCTTCCCGCCTCCGAGCCGAGCGCCGAACCGAAGTGCCGAGCGCCGAGCGCCGAACCGGCACTTCGGGTCGGCGCTCGGCTCCCCGGTGCCGGCGCATCGTCCTGCGCGTATCCATACGTTGCACATCGCATTCGAATACGAGTCCGCGTCGCGTGGCATCTTTCTTGTGACGCTCCGTCGTGAAGCTACGTTTTGTGTGTTACTTCAGCGCTCAGCACAGTGTGTAGTGCCGTTTTGCCTTCGCCTTTCCGTGCTCAAAAATTGCTTCTGGGTGCCGTGCAGTCACCACTCTGAAGCACCCGAAATCCGCGGCAAGCAGGCTGTGAAAGTGGCGTAGCCCTATGCTGATATTGCGTCTTCCAAACTAAAGGGACGGGTGATGAGCGAGTGGGTGGCGTTTTGAAAATTTGCCACTCCTCTTTCATCCTTGTCCCCAAAGTATTTACATCGTGCCGAAAAAGCTTCCACAAAGTGTGCATCTGGTTCCAACATGCTTGCTTTCCAGTGTTCACAGCTGCATCTCCGGGAGTCTTACATTCGAGGACAAGGTTTTTTTCGGGAAGCTCTCGCAGCAAACTATCATATTTAGTTAAAGTTTTGCGCAACTTTGAGTGCTACAATTAACAACAAGAGCTGTTTTACAACTGCTCAATTTTGTGCATGCATTCCATGTTTCTCAGCAATTTAAAACATGCGTCTCCAAAACATAATATGCATCCCGACAAAAGTGGTAATGGATGGCTTAGAATTCAAACCCGCGAGGTCAAAAATTCAGACAGCCAATTGGTCCGAAAATTCAGACTACCTGGTAGTCGTAAAATTCAAAGTACATGCTAGTCTGAAAATTCAGACGACGGGTGGTCCAAAAAATCAGAGTGTCCGGGGGTCTGAAAATTCAGACCACGGGGTTTCAAAATTGACTTCATCCTAAAAAGTCTGAAAATTTCGACTTTTTTTTTAACAGTGAAGGTAGGATTACGCCAGACCGCGTCTTGTCGTAACAGGCTTCGCGATGTCTCGCTGCCTGTTCCTACAATCCGCGCCTGGCGTACCTACCTTGGCCTGCGGCGCTAGCCTGCCTTCGGCAGGCAATGGCTTGTCTGTCGTCGGTTACTTCTAACTTGTTTCTTTCTGGGGGGCTGGACCCCCCTTCATTCTAGATAGACTTGCTTCATCTTCAAATAACACGATCTTGACCCTTGGAACTTTTTAACTTTTTACCTTTTTTTTAAGACACAAGAGATCTGCCTACGGAAAACTCGATTTTTCGCCGTTTTTTATGTGTTTTTTTTGGCTATAAAAACTGAACCAGTTGAGCTAGGATGGTGAAATTTCGCGTGTGCCGAGCCAAGGACATACCCAAAAAGTGTGCAAAATCTCACCGAGATCGGCCGAGCCGTTCAGGAGGAGTAGTGCGGACACACGCACGCACGCACGCACGCACACACGCAGACAGGAAAAACTTTTCAACCCCACCTGAGTAGCCAATTAGCAGCCAATTAGTGTGAAATTTTCCAATAACACTGCAAATCCAAGTGTGAAACAGTCTCTCAGTGTTTAGTGCAAACCACTCAAGCCACTCGAGTGGTTCAAGTGTGGGACATAGTGGAGCGATTCTCACGTTTCGGGGTAGTTTTGACGTCTCTGATTTGCCGAACGTGAGAAATATCCAATAAAGTTTTTCTGATTATTGAGGTCCTGAATGATGCTAGAGTTATGGCAATGGTATTTATAGTAAAGACCTTGTACTACCTTCCTAAAAACATGAGCCCTAAGGTATTCCTATACGTTTTAGCGGGTGTTTTGATCACGGAAATTACGTTATCACGGAAGTTACAAAGTGTGAAAATGGCCTTAAACGGCTGACTCAGGCTGGCTGTGGCTTACAAGTCGTTCCAGGGTCAAATGATACTTTAAGCCCGACATTTAAGCGGAAAATTTTTTCACCTAGTTCTGCTGCAACATTAAGTTAAGGGTGCCACGGAAGTTACAAGTAATTGTTGATACACACCATTTTTTTAAGGGGAGGTTCTGGTGAAAATCTTGCCATTTTCCAAATGGATCCGACTGTCATAATTCGTTCGGAATATAAAATCTTTCTATGAGGACACTAAAATTAGATTTTTGAAAGCACATCCCAGGCTCTGAACCCAGTCGAAGAGTCTTTTTGAGCCTATTTTGGCTGTATCTTAAAAAATCTCCTTGCGCATACTATTTTGTCGTAAAAGGTTGACCTTTACATTTTTCACTTCTTCGATTCATTTTTAAAAGATGCCGGCATGCACAACTCAAAATGGCCATTACAGTATTAATTGTAAGCTTTTTAAAGC